CCGCGCGGGGCGGGACAGATGGCCGCGGACGGGGCTCCTCGCCGCCGCCCTCCCTCCCGTGCCGGCGGGAGCACCTCCCTCTCCCCCGCGCTGGGCAGGCAGGGGGCGTCTGCTGCTCGTGCACTGCGAGAGCGGACAAAGCGGGCAGGCCACACCCCCAGGCTCTTAAAGGCGCAGGAGCCCCCCCCCCCCGCACGCCCAGGCCGCGGGGGCGCCCTCCGAGCCCCCGCGCGCGATCGCGGCCCCGGCCACGGGCGGCCTCCCCAGCGGGCAGCGCGCCGCCTCCGCCCCGGTATCCCGGGCCCGCGGCGCGGGGCGCATGGCCTGGGCCGCGTCTGGCCGGAGGGGCCCGTCCCGGGCGAGGCGGGCTGAGCCGCAGGCGGGCAGCGGGGTGCGGCGGCGGGCTGGAGACTGCCCCCCCCACCGCCCCCGATCAGTCGGAAACCTCTGGAGCTGCCAGTGCAGAGCAGCTCTTGGGGGCGTCCTTTCGGAGAGCAGGGCCGGCGGTCGGGAGGGGGGCCCAGATAGTGGGGCAACGCCAGCATGTACGTGTCTTTAGCTTCCAGCTCCCCCCCCCCGCGAGAAGGACGCCTCGGGGGAGGCATTTCCAACTTCTAGAATTGAGGGGGCTGTGCAAAAGCCCAGAGAGCCCCCAGGGCCTGGCAGCTAGTGGGAAGGCGGGGGCCGCTCTGCAGCTGGGCTGGGCCGCCAGGTGCCAGGGATGGACTTCAAGCTGTTTTGCCTGAGCTGGGGGGGCACATGGGGAGCACCCCCCCTTGGGATTTTTTCTCTGGAAGCAGATGCTCAACACCATGGAGCCTCCACGTGGCCCAGCAGGAATCCCCTGAGGGGATCTCTCTGGGCCCTCGCTTGCCCCATGGAGGCCCTCCAGGCCCCACACATGTGGGAGCATGAAACAGCCGTGAGGACGTGCCGCTCTAACCTGGCGCACTCCAGGTATGCCTGGCTGCCGCCCGTCCATCCATCCATCCATCCATCCATCATCTTGCCTTTCTTCCGACAAGGAATTCGGGGCAGCCAACCTAATCCTCCTCCTCTTCCTTTTATCCTCACGACAACCCTGCAAGGTTGGTTAAGCGGAGAGTCAGTGACTAGCCCAGGGTCACCCTGTGAGGTTCATCGCCTAGAACCCCGATCTCAAGCCCCAGCCCAACACTCTCAAGCCCATGCTGCACTGGCTCTCCCAGGCAAGGTGTGGCAGCAGCCCGGAACATCCATGCTGGCTGGGGATGATGGGGACCGTGGCAGAGGCTCAGCAGGTGCGGAGCTGGAGGAGGCAACTCCGGAGCAAGGGCTGTTCCGCAAGCTACCCGCACCCCAGTGTCTGCCCGGCCAGGCGGGGCCTGCCTCCTCTTCCTCCCTTCACCATTCCGGCCCAGCGCACAGGAGCTCAGACGTGGCTGCAGCCCAGTTCCGGGTAGATTCGGGGCAGTCAGCACATCCAGCCAAGGATTAGCCCTGTCCAGCTTGCTCAGCAAAGTTATTAATAGAGCTTTCTTCCCCTCTCTTAAAGTCTCCTGCCTGAAGCCAGTGAGTGGCACGGAGACGGGAAAAGGAGAGAGTGGTTCTGTGTGACTTGGAAGCTGGCTGCCATGAGGTAACAGGCGCCTGCCGAAGCACCGGCTTTCTGTGGGCACTGACATTCGCGACAGCATGATAATAGCATCGCGCAGAGATGCCGCACAAATATTTGCAAAACGTCAGCCGGAGCATGGCCTGGTAGAGGCTGGAAGGAAACCGCCAAGAAAGCGATTGTGGGGTCACGATGCCTGCCTTGATGAAAAGGCCAGCCTGGCAGCTACGAAAGGCAAATCCCTTGTAGAGATCATTAGGTAAAGGATAAAAATACATAATGCCTCCCCACAAATCTACGGTGTGCCCACATGTGGAATATTTCGTACCACTCGGGCCACCACATTGCAAAATGGACATGATGTACAGCTCCAAAAAACCTCCGAAAAGGGCAAGCGAAATGATCGCAGGCCCGGAGCAGCTTCCCCACAAGGCACGCATCGGAGACGCAGCCGCTCTGCCCGGGGTCACGGGGTCCAGCCCCAGCGCTGCTCTGCACGGTGCAGCTGCAGCATCCTGAGGGACGGGCATTCACTCCAGCAAGGGATGCCCACCACGTCCCGAAACAATCTGGTCTGCCACGGAACTGCTGGGAAGTCGGACACCTGTTGTCTGCGGTTCTGCCCTCCGGACCCTCTGCTCTCCTGGCTCCCTCTGACCTTCTCTAGATCGCAGATGCCCAGCTTTTCCCGGAATTCCCTGGAGCACAGGCAGTCCCTCCCTCGCTCACTCGCTCACTCCTCAGTGGACACACTCCCGGGGTGCCAGTGCCCTTCCTACAGGGTGGCACCCAGAACGGGACACAGTTCCCCAAGCACGGCCTGACTAGCTCAGGACAGAGCAGAACGATTACTTCCCGTGACCTGGAAACCAGGTTACTGATACCGCAGTCTGCGACTGCATCAGCTTTCTTAGCGGCGCCATCGCTCTGCGGTTCATAGACTGCGACCACTGCAGAGCCGGGTTTCCGCGATCCTGTCTTGTTTCGCTCCTTTGAGACCGAATCCAGAGGCACTGAATTTCACCAGGCTGCTTTCAGCCCGGGCTTCCAGCCTGCTCCTGCAGAAGATGGCGAAGCCTTTCGCGAGCGCTTCTTGCGCCCAGATGCTCAACTGGGCGAGGGCTCCTACCTCAGCAATAGCATCAAGTCACATTTTCCCATCTTGCCACCAAGAATATTATGGGAAACCTTCCTAGATGCTTTTCTGACATGCAGAGGCCTGGTGCACATGGCTGACCAGACTGGCAACTCCATCCAAAAGCAGGAGTTCCACCACGTTGAGCTGGCTTGGCTTTTTCCAGGCAAATCCACGCTGGCATTCTTGCCTGGATGCCCAGACTGACTGTTTAATTATCTTCTCTAACATTTTGCAGAGCGCTAGCATCAGGCCGCCTGGCTGTAGCTTCCTGGATCCCCTTCTCCTCTTCCAGAAGATGGAGACCACACTGGCCCCAGGTGCTTCCTGTGCTTCACCTGCTCTCCAAGATCTCTCAGAGGCGGCAGGCAGAGCAGCTCTGCAAAAGCATCCACAAACTCTTTTGGCGCCCCAGGGTGTCATTTCTCTGTCCTCGAAGACCTGGGTTCATTTGAAGTAGCTGCCTCACCAGGTCCTTCCTCATTCTGGGCAGCGAGTCCCTCTCTGTGTCGTCTGTCCTCCTTGTCCCTCGTGGGAAAAGCCAAACGCAAAGCAGGACTGGAGTAGATCTGCCTTCTCTGACATCTGCTAACATTTCTCCACCTTCCCGAAGCAGCAGGGCTAGTCCTTCTGTGGTCTTCTTGCTTCTAACAGAGTTAACCCCTTCTGTTCTATTTTTAGCACACCTCCCGAGCTGCTGTGTCTTCTGGGCCTTCACTTCCCTGACGTCAACACTGCGGGACGGGTCTATTCTCGTACAGCCTGCTTGCTCTGAGGTCGCCCTTTCTTCCAGCTCATCGATGAGTCCCCTAGATCAGCATTTCCAGTTTTGAGATCTCCCATCCCGGATGAATTCCACTTTTCCCCGTCAGAATTCAGGCCCTGGGATCTACACAAGCTCCCTCCAAACTTTTGCAAGCTGGCTCCCCAAACGCCGCATCACAGCCCTCACCATCACGAAGCTTAATGGTTAGGAAAAGGAGAGCAAAGGGACATGACAGAGGCTGGCTTGAGCTCCTTGGCAGAGAGGGTGTTTGGCTGCGGAAGGGCTTGGCTCTGCCCCAGGGCCCATGCCTGGCCAGAAGGCTCCTTGGCAGCTGGGATGCCTCCTGCCAGAGAGTTTGCAGGCGCACGACTGATTTGGGTCACGGATGCACTGGCAGAGGCCCTGCTCGGCCCCTGCCTGGCTCCCTGTGCTTCCTGCTTTCAGTGTTATCCCTTGGGCGGCAGGGGAGGGTGGGGGGGGGGCTCTCCTGCCACAAATGAAGCCTGGTCCTCCAGCCCCATTTGCAGCGGTGTCCTGGCTGGTGGTTTTGTGCTCTGGAACTTGAAGCGTCTCTCCCTCATCCTCGGCTCCTGTGCGAGGAATTGCTACTTTCATCTTGTCCTTTTGCCTTCTGGGAAGCGAGTGTGGTATGATAAGCCATGCCTTGCCATGACTGCCGTTTTACCCCGTTCTCTCAAAAATTCCAGTTGTGTCTGTTGACCCAGAAGGGCTGCAGATGATCACCAGTCAGATATGTGCCAAACCTTTTAAAGGCTTTCCTCTCCTTTCCGTGGCAGGCAGCCCGGCAGCTCCCGCAGATTTCTTGAAAGATGG